TGGTTTGTCATCGAAAATTTGATTCGCATTAAATAATTACCGACTAAACGTTGACAATAAAAAACAATCCAATTAATCAACGCAGTAAACACTTCAACAAAACTCTTTTTACTACAATAAACACTTCCTGAAATAATTATATTAAAATAATTTCCTTCAAATACAAAGTACAATTAATCACTTGAAACATTCAAAAGTACTATGGTACAAGCATTCTTGTAATATTTCGTGACCACATTTACAAATTTAGTTATGATTTGACTATAGTACATTGTGAAACGATGATGTAATGATTGCGAATGATGTTCACAATACTCTCTTGTTCCTCGCTCGTATCGTAATATTACACTCGTGTATTAATACGAGTTTCATACTCCACTACATACGAGTTACGTCGAGTTTCATACGATAATTTTTCTACGACTAACGTTTTCAAGTTAAACTTTTACACTGAACATTTTCATGGCAATTAACATGTAGGATTCCACCTAGGTCATCTAGCGGACAGCTCCCTACCCTACCATGCCGTAGGTGAGTTTCATTTACCAGTGCGCCTGCGAAGAGTACACTATTTAAGTTTTAACTTACTAAAGGAAAATATATCCATTAACCAAAATGAAACTCATTGAAAGAAGTTTGTTTTCTATGAATAATGAAAATAAAGAAATTGAACATTGTAGATAACACTTATTTCATCTTATTTAGTATTTACAACTGTTTTTAAATTCTGTATTGTACAATTTTTCAAATTTATTCGCGGACGTGTTGTTTCTTTAATATTTGTGGACAATGATATTATTTAAATTCAATGGTAATTCATTTTCATTTTCTATGAGATTCTGAATTGAATTATCATTGGTTAAATCACGAGTGATTTGGAAATTGTCGATAAATCAGAGAATTTCCAAAGCACGAGAGGTATTTAATAAAACTATTCCAAGAGTGAAATTTCCAGAGTTCCAACAGTTTCAAAATCGGCCAAATATTGAAAATATGTTAAAATCAAAGAGGTTGTGTTATATATAAGCGGTTTATTGGACTTCGACAAAGCGATCGATGTATACCGCCTCCAAAGTTAGATGAGCCACGGTTTATGATTGGCCAGAAGGGAGAAACTGTAAGAAAAATCAGATAAGAAAGGCGAAAAACGTTTTGAGATACACTGCTTGATTGGGGCATTTTTTTTTGTATAGTAAAACACTATTGGTTTTTATTTCACGAGTCTTCGTAACCTTCAGCAACACTTTATTTCCATTCGTCATGTCTTTTCAACGTTGTTAAATCACCACCAGCGTCCACTAATAATTTTGCTTAACTTTTGCAAAAGCAGTGACCGGTATATGAATCTGAATTGGGAAGGTTCAAATACGTATCTATTTTCTTGCCCATGTTTCCTAATTTATTGATCCCAACGTTTAGCACTATAATTTGCCATTTGCAATATTGATAAAAATAATGGAGTGTTGCAATGTTTTGGACATACATTCATATATCTTTTTGCATATTTCGTAATACTTTCCTGTAGCTGTGAAAGTATGTGACGTTTTGGTTTTTGAGCTTGCTATGTTAACTATAATGTTAGATTGTGCATCTAATATATCATTCCGTTTTAATTTTTATTACTCATGCTTTCGACAAGCTCTCATAATACTGAAGATAAGTGCTACCTAGAACAATCATAATATCAAAATATATTTATATTTGTAAATTTCTGTAATCATTTCAAAACACTTCATTATATTGTACTTACTTTTCTTATAAGGCACATTTCATCAGGTGCTTTGTTTACGAATTTTTGTATTTCATTTAACACTTTCGATTTTTTTAGTTTGTATCCAGATTTTCTTTGTCATTAAGTACTTAATTTCCCATTTTGGAAATATCAATCTGGTGTTTAATATTCAGTGGCAGCTAGTGTGTGGCAAATTAAGAGGGGTGGCATATAAACCCCAACAATCGCGTACATTTTACCTCTTAAAAATATTTCTTGCACAAGGCAAACTACTGTAGTGTGCGACCGATTTGCAAACATCAGGATTTTAATACTCGTCTAACATAACTATTACGTTGATAACGTGAGATACAATTGTGCTCACGCGAAAGTAATTTTTTTTTTGTTTAAATATGTCCAGCAAAGAAAACAGTAATTTATAGAATCAAATGGTATGGGTCCGTATTCTTAGCTGAATTAATAAGCGCGGACTCAGACAAACAAAACCCTAATATATGCAGCATGCTGCCCCCATTTAATTCCCAGGACCCCTCTTTCTAAAGCTTCCATTGACTCGCATGTACCAGCTACGGACGGACTCGCAGTAGTCCACAATACAACCCATTCTAAAAACATTTTACCTTTTGCTTAAGCTGTCATCTAAAACTAAATTCGTCCTCAAAAATTGCGTTGCTGATATGCACAAATTACACGCGTCGATTTATTAAAAGTTTACTATTTTCTGCAACTTTTCCCTTTTTCTGGGGTGGCGCCGCCCTAGAGCCTATAATGACTAGCAACCATTTAACATTTAAGGTAGACTTCAAAACTAAATAATATGTGCAGACAATTGAGGACTTAATTTGTTCCGCAAATTCTTCGAAATAAACAAGCAAAACATTTTCTGAATAAGATTGAACGTTTTGTTGTGGTTTTTTGTACTTATACGTTTCAGCTAGTTATTGCATTCGATACGGACCTCAATATACACTGCATAACTTACCTGGATCGAAAGGATCGTGGTTACGAGGGAAATATCAAAACAGTTGAATGATGCTACATGTTCTCGTATGGAGGGAATTATGAGATGGAAATATGAAAACAAACTGAGTAAAGTTAACACCTACTTAATTAGTAAATCGGAATAGATAAAATTACGTCAAAGGCCCTCGTGCATTTTGTCGCCGCTCAATCATTAGAACCTCTATAACGCTCTTGGTGCATAAGTATCGTTTTGTATCCCTTCCATAAATTGCTGGTTTGATTTGTGTACTTTTTGTTATTTTGGGGGCAATATTTCTGACGTCATCATTTTGGCTTTTTCTCTTATTTCTGGAGGTGCCAACGCTACCTCTGATTCACTAGACATTTTAATCTAAATGACTATCCGACTTTTAAGGGCAACCATGCGGCAGCAACATAACACAAAATGACTCGTTCTGATATTAACATCAGTCAAAAATGTTCCCTCCAATAACTACCACTACGCTAGTCAAATACGATCAAAGTAAACTTACGATCCAATTTATTTTAAACAATATTTCGCGCAAAAATTACTAACAAAAAAAGAAATAACAACGGACAAGCATAATATAATACTAGATGCAATTTTCATGTAGTATCAATTTTCACAAAACATTTACTAGAACGTCAATCACTTATTCGATTTACTAGAACGATTTTCAATGATTATGTGTCAATACTTGGTTGGTATACTTCTCTGTGATTGGTAAGAAACCCGAATCATAATAAAATCTATATCGTAATGACTATCATTATGCAACGGGTTGCAGCCAATAAATGACAGAATTATACAATGTGAGCAGAAACAAATTCTGTATCATTCATACAAAGACCTTTGCGATCAGTTTCACTTGTTTCTTGCACTCTGTATTATACCCTACATGGCGAAGGTTACCTACTTTTGAAAATAAATATACACACAATGTTAACTACCTAACCTAGATAAAACCTGGTTTATTTACACGATAGAAGAATAAAATACAATCGCCAATTCCCACAATACTTTTACTTAACCTACAATGTTCGACGTAGTATATATTAACAAGGTACTACAATTACATCTTATTCTTATTAGTGCCGTTAGTGCAATTAAATTACTTTATACAGCGAAAAAGTGTATTTTTCTTCCTCTATTTTGAATCGGGTGGTAACAAACGGCTGAAATGCACGTCGGCCTCATACCGTTCTTCCCTGCGCGCTGCTCCTGCCAAGCTTGACCTTGAATACGTCCCCGCTGATTCGATAAATTCCCTTTGTCTTAAATTTGCTACCGCTATTCCTATCACAGATTGTTTTAGGTTGCAATTAGTAGTTTGAATAATTTAATTAATAAGGCGAAAATGTAACTCATGGTCACTACACTTGGTTTTTTCTACCGTGGCCCATGACATTAGGTCATATTTACACCACCTTCCTTATAAATGAATCGTTTTAGCAGTGGTGAGCCCATTTCTGAGGTCACGAGCCCCGTGGAGAGGGACGTTTGCGAATTACTTAAAAAGATTCATTTTATAAGGTAAGGAATGTATCAATGTCCTAATGTCATGAGGTCATTACAAACTTGTGAAACAGAATGGCACAGACTTTCTCGTATTAGTTTTATACTTCCTTTGGTCTCGGTTGGCAATTCGAACTTGCCACATATTATTCTTGCCTGCTGGCATCTATCGCCGCCCAAAGTACATTTTGACATTGTCTAAATTTTTCGGTTTCCTAATTGAAGAGCGGAAATTTTATTTTAAGATTAAAGAACAATAAAACCTCGTCCGAAACGGCAATTTTCTTTGCAAAATTTGGAGCTGTTTTTAAACTGGCGTTTAAGCGCTACTGTAAATTTGAAATTTGAAGCTCTTTTTTACAGAAAATGTTTGAGATTTCAAAAAACTTATTTTGAAGTAATTTTAAGTATTTTAACTCACAAATACAATAGAGTTTACAAATTGCTGGAAATGTGTATATCAGCGGCATGAGAGATCTTTCCAAAAATTTACCAATATTTTTTTAACAACAAAATACATCGAAATGAACTTTACGTCATATTAAAGAGTGGAATTACCATTATCCGTTCGAAATATTTGAAGAAAAAATTGGAGCCGTTTTTGATAAAATGACGTGTTAGCGTTTCTGAAATGCGGAGATTTGAACTAGTTTTCACAGAAAACGGTAGAGTTTCCGAGATTCTTTATATGACATTATTTAAAGAACATGTACTCATAAATATGTAAAGTAAAAACTACGTATAAATCTGGTATTACGTAAGACGTACCTTATATGTGCTTCCGCTGTGAGCGGGCATCGGCAGCTCATTAGGTCGAAAGTCGGAGATTGTCTTCCTTCCCTTCTCTTCACGATGGAATCTCTTTCTCCTCGTAAGCAATCGTCTCCTCATATTAATGATTCTCCCTCCTCACCTCCGGTTTCTTACAAATTTCTACTACTAGTAGATGCTTCTGCCTGCGCCATATTAATTAATCTGAGGAGATTTTACTATACTAGTGGTGGTAGTTATAAATAATATCTGCAATTAAAATCATAAAACTATCGAAACTGTAAAATCCATAAATCTGGAAAGAAACAAAGGTAATACTTCGGTAAAATATCACACCTGCAGTTGAGCGCATGGCACTTAATTCAAGTATTCTGTTATCTCACGTGTTATTTCACTATAATATTACAAAATACTCTAAGTCAATTTATATTATTGTTACCTCAGTTTGCGAACTTGTATGTCCCTGAAATTATTAGATGATCTTGAATCACTGGCCGCTTCACAAAGAATTGAAATCTACGTGTTCACGGATCACTCTATTTGACCCTCCTTCCTCCACGACGTTCAACGGACAAATACCTGCCGCCAACTTGTGTTTGCGCAAGGATGTTAGCGCTCTGCTCTGATTGGCTCTCTTGGCAGAGATCTCGTGTTTGAATTCTCATCTTTAAAACGAGTCACTTACTGTATCTCCCACTCCTCACGATTTATTCACATGGTGGAAAGTATTTTAAAGTCATTCCATCCATAAGATCCATTCATTAGTCTCAACTCGTATTTTTTTCATTTTTTTTCCTAGCCTGTTTTCTAGAACACAGTGGGAATTGCAGCTGTTCAAATAAAAGTTTTCTCATTCCTGAAGCAGTAAGTCGATTTCATTACGTAGAGTATGATAAGGAATAACATCCCAAATCTGTATTTAATGAGGAGCCACCTCTTCCTAGGAGCCTTGCTGGCGCATTACGTCAGCTGTGTCTTGAGCAGTGAAGCACTGAGTATTAGATTTCAGTCGGTAAGCAAAATTTAAGAATAGGCAGAAAAACTTAATAAATATTTGCAGTTTTTAGTCGATATCGAAACCAATTCATTGTTGTTGTCTTTTATTTTTCCAGTGGTCTTGGATATATAACAAAACCATAAACACCTCTCATATGTCCTGAGACTGGATATTTTTCTTTCAATTTCTGCGCGCATTGACAATTAGTGGTATAGCCTTAAAATGTGTTGAACATAAAAAACAATGTACACTCTTGGAAACATTAAGTTTTGTATCTAAATTACCTTGGCCCGAGAGGTTGATGACGCTGGACAGTCCTGCCTGCCAACAGCGCTATCTAACGTTTATTTTCGAAACTACGTTCTGTAGCTCGAACTATGAAGAAATGATGGAATATGAATTTATTTTATTGGAGAACGTATGAAAAACTTCAACGTCTATTCAGAGCTAAATAATAGTAGTAGTACAGAGGAAAAAGTCATTCGTGAATCCTACCAGTGCACCTGAATTGACATTAATTTTTGTAAACATAATGTTGCTTTCATGTTTCGGTAATATAAAATGACTTGTTATAAGAAAAGTGATCGGAAAGCGAAAGATTGGCGCAGTGTCAACGTGCTGTCATAGAACTCGTGAAGTAGCGGGTTCGTTTCTCAGTTTACGTGGATATTTTATCCGTTCTACTGTGCCTTAAAATCCACTAAAGTACTAATTACCTTTACAGTTGAATCATTAATCAATCAGTCCACGTTGGTATTCCAACTCAGCTTTTTCTATTTATTTACATCTAACACGCCATTCCCGTTTCAACCTTCAACAGTGAAAACAAATAGTTTGTGTCTCTTCTTTCTCGGTTATTTGCACATTTTTAGGAATTTTACTTTTTCATATATTTTGCTATTTTATTTTGTAATAGATGAGCAGAAAGAGCCATCCGTTTTGAAAGGCTTATGCATTATTAACTGCAAATTTCATACACTGCGGAGAATATGAGCTCCTGTTTTCGCCATTCATGTGATGTTCTTTGGGTATTCAAATGTGAATTTCAACATAAATGGGCTTCCACAAGGCCACACACTTTTTCAAACAATAAAAGAGTTTATTGATGTTTCCTTTCAACAAAATTTGGTCATTGGTTTATGACACACAAATGCCCATATGCCATAGTATGTTCTCTAGACACAATGTATTATCTTATGCATTCACCAGTCGTTTTCACGGCCAACAAATGTCACACTGTTATTATGGAAAGAATCTGGATGGCTTGATATATGAGCGCATCCAGACGATAATTTTTTGGGGGAAGGGGGATCACAGATTTTGTTAAATAATAAACAAAGTTGTTATTATATTGTACATTATTTTTCTAATATATACATGACACTATATAATATTTGTTAAATAATTACATAATTTTAACATAAATATTTAAATCAATTTTGCCAAAGAAAGGAAGGTAACAAACGAAAACTCTAGGCAATTTGGGGAGGGGGTATGGCCTCCATGGCTCCCCCGTGAATCCGTCACTGGTTTGATATCCGTCATTCAAGTGAATTCAGTTCCAAAGTTGATATTTATGAAACTTGGTATATGAATACGTAAATTGTACGATTAGAACCTCAAATATTGAAAGTATGATATGAAGATGTGCGTATTCTATTGTACATGCTGTCGTCCGTGCATAAACGTTCATTCTAGTTTTTAAACAAGTTAATTCATGTTATGCACTATTAAAGACAAAGTAGAACATTCAACGCAATTCTAATGAATGTATCTCGTTTTCCAACGAATATTGACATTCAAGGTCACAACTTATAAAGCAACTTGTAAATCTGTGTGACAAATAATCTTCGCACTAGCTTTCATTCTCATTTGCATTCGTTAAAAACCAAACATACATATTTACAAATAAAAAAAATTACTAATGCTACGAAATGGGCGACATCTCAGAAAACACAGCTGTAATGCCGATCAGAATCTTCACGTCTGAAGACATCAGGCACATGAATTGGCAATTTACCCGAGGTGATTGTGTGCCTCGAGACTCATTCTCACCGAACGAGAGTAATAGACTTCCTACTTACGCTCTGCCTTCGCCAAGTAATTGTCCGTTACCCCGAGCCGAGCTAAGTGGATCAGTCGATAACTCCGTTACATCACTGAGAAGGGAGTAGCGATCTTGTGTCAATCTAAAGAACACTGCTTCGAAAAACGACGGACCTTTGCAAAACTTGCAAAACGCAGCTGTTTTTGTTTAATTCATCTTGAAACTGCTCATGTAAGCTAAAAGTGCGAAGTCAAGATATTATAATATCAATTGCTTGGAGCGAAGCCGTATAAGGATCCTTGCCTGTGATTACAGAATATTGAATCGCCAATGGGAAGGGAGGAGACGCAAGGAAACACAGATGGCAGGGGAGACTGGAGGAAAACGGAGAGGTGTTCGTGGATAAGAATAGGAGACACAGTGAATATAACAGAAAATGAAAAGGGATGAGGGCCTAAATAAAAATATAAGAGGCAGGAGTGGCAAAAAATGTGAAATCGAAAGAAAAGAGAAGTGTAAGTATCGGGAAAGAGAAAAAAGTAAGAGAATGACAAGGTAGAAGAGTAAAAGTGAACAGCAAAAGAAAAGACGATTTACTGGGAGAAACAGAAATTAGATGGGAGAGGAAGATGTTCGGGAAAACTGCAGGGAAGATGTTCGGGCGAGGGAAGGAGAAGCTAAATGAGAAAAGTTACAAAGCAAAATTGGAGAAGCGGGTAAAATTGAGTAGAGGTTTAGAGCGGACGGCGTAAGGAAACGGCAGAAACTCGAACAGGGGAAGGTCATTAAGGAGCAAGAACGCCACAGCTGTGCGCCGAACATACGAAAGCCCACCGCCCCGGCCGATGAGGCGGTGTAGGCGGCGTGGACGATTTCCAGCCCCTTCCTCCTCGCCGGAACACCAGCACCTGCTTGTCGCACCACTGCCGCTAGGGCGCAGCACTAGAACCTAATTTCCCCTGTCATATTCCCATTGCAATACAAATTAAGAAAATGCAAATACAGTTTAATATTGAGAGTGAGGCACAAACTTACTTCCTCTCACATAAAAGGCACAGAGAGCGGAATGTGTAAGATAGATACGTTCTGTTGTAGAAAATGCCGTACTGAAACACTTTATGTCGTCGGTTTCAGCATGTACAAACACGGTACTTACTATGGTATGCTCGGCGCCACGTAAACTAGTGGTGCTGCAACAACATATTCAGCCGATTTTCTCCAAAATTGAGATTCCCTATCGATTTAAAGGAACACGAGCCCCTCTGAGTTTGAAACGGATATTTTGATCATGGAGAGGCGGGATATTTTACAGTCTCAACATTTTCAATTTTTTCTCAAAAATTGCTTCAAATGTTTTTATTAAACTTTGTCCTCGAAGAGCGTAAAGGACGCTTAAAATAATGGTACAAGTTTCTTTTTCGTTGAAATCTCAGATTGTTCAGAAATTGCGAATGTTCCAACTTTTCGGCATCTGCCTACAATTACAATATTGAAGATAAATAAATTTTCATTAATAAAATCTGTTCTTTAAAGACAGATCTTCAAATAAAAACCAAATTTTCGAAGATTTGTGTAGTTTTTACATAATTTTGCGTGAAATACAGGCAATTTTTAATCTTTTTAAAAAAATCTCAAAAATGGCTCGAAAATTTCCTTTAAAATTTCTCCTCGTATGTATCAAATAGCAAACAAATTTTGTACTTGGAATTTACGTAAATTATCAAAACATTTTCTCAAAAATCGCTCAATTTGTTTGCTTCAAATTCTTTCCACGGATAGAACAAGGAACGCTTAAAACAATGGTGCAGGTTTCAGTTTCCTCGAACTTTCTGAATTTTTGAAAATTGTAAATTTAAAAATAATGCAAGAAAATATATGTATGTTGTTCAACCACTAGTTTCATTCGTTCACTATCTATTAATTTGATATTACAAAAACAATTTGAAACATGATTTTTTTGTGCACAGAAATTTCGTGTCTTTAGCAATCAAAACTGTCCTTTCGTTTCTATTTAACGAGAGCATATTATTTACATTTAAAACAAGAGGATAGGCCGAAGATCGAAATCTGCAGGACCCCATGCACAATAATCAAAGAATTGGAATGTTGAGCAAATAATGTTTATTCATGTCTGTAAGAAATTTCTACTCTTTGTGGTCGATGATTAAGGGACAAGGATATCCAATGTAGGGAGAAAATGTTTAAAATGTTGCTAAGAATTCATGTAAAGTATCCTAAAAAACAAAATAATATTTTTACATTCCCAATGCCTGAGTTCATCCAGATCGGACTGACGGACGGACTGACGGATAGATGTTTGGCCATAAATTAATTTTTCAGTATCAACGGCCCAAAAACTTTCGTCGTGATTGCAATATATATTAAGAGGAAGAAATTGATAAGAAAAATATTTAGCCATTTTTTCCTTACCAGGACCCCTCATTAGGAGTTTTTCTGGCGAAAAATAGCCCTTTCCGCTACAGGATTAGATTTTTTAACGTTCCTACATAACAATGTAATAAAGAGAAAATAAAAACTTTAGGTGGAAAGTCTCCTCCATCCACCAAAGTACTAACTAATTTTGTGGTGACTACCCTGTCAAATGAATAAATGCTGAACTAA